GATGTTAAATTTAATTGACAACTTAACAGGTGGTGCCAGCCTGAGCCATCCACTATACAGTTCTCCAACAGCTTTTTGTCTACTACAGCACTTTTTTTCTTTTTTGTGATACTGAGGATAGAATCCAGGGAATGCTGAGCTACATCCCTAGCACATTTTATTTGTGAGACAGCCTCTAGTTGAGTTGCCCATACTGTCCTTGAATTTTGGATCCTCCTGCCTCAGCCTCCTGAATAGCTGGAAGTGCAGGTATGTGGCACCATGACTGTAAAATATAAAGTGTGAGCCCTGGACTGATACTATCAGCATCCCTTGCAGACTTGTTAGAAATGCAGATTCTTGGCACTGGGGTTGTAGCTCAGTTAGAAACAGTGTGCACTGCTAGTCAGTGTGAGGCCATGGGTTCATCCTGATACCCAGATCTCCACATTCTTGGGCTAATGGTCCGGGAGTGGAAACCATTGGTTTCACCCTTTTAGCAACTAGAAGAAGTTATCACCAAAGCTCCTTATCTTCCTAGGGGTGACAGTGGTCACATTTTAGTTGCATTCATTATCTGGCGAAGGGTGTTTTGTTTTGTTTGTACCAGGGATTGAACTCAGGGGCACCACTGAGCTAAATCCCCAGCCCGAAAAAGGGTGCAGTTTTAAGAGGTAAAGCAGAGTGTCAAGGAGGGTGCTATTCGGCTTACTCAATTCTAAGCAAAATTTAATAACTATTCAAATGCAGGAGAAATGTTCGTTCAGCCTAGCATAGCAGGCAACATCTCCAATTCTTTATTTCACTTGCTTGATGGGTAGTGGGATTGAACCCAGGACCTTTGCACTGAGCTACATAGCCTTTTTAAAAATTTTGAGCAAGGTCTCACTAAGTCACTAAATTGCCCAGACAGGATTTGAATTTGTGATCCTCCTGCCTCAGCCTCCCAGAGTATTAATTTCACTCTTTGAACAACTAACATGTTATTCAGATTTAGGGAGTGTTTTACTTATTTCTCCATATTTTCTTTCTTTTTTCCTTTTTTTTAAAAATCAGCTTTTAGGTCAGTTTCCCCAGGAGAAACGACCTTTCTCTCTGAACAAACAGCTTCTGAATGTCACCGTTATTCTTTTTATCCCTGAAAGAGAAAAGCACCCCCTTCCATTTTTGCCTTGCAAAATCTGCACCCCCACAAATTGGTTCCAATTACAGGAGTTGGATGTTTGGCTCTGGTGCTATCATGGGATGTGGGGGTTTCCTCCATCTCCAGGATTGGGGGCCAAGTTTGGGGATTGTCTTGGTGAGTTCAGAGAAGATATGAACTCTTCATTCTGAAGTGGGAACCTCAGCCACATGGTTTCAAAAATGATCTTGCTGCTTTATCGTACAAGAATGAACCATGCATTTTTAAGACCATTATGAATACACAGATTGAAACATATTTGTCTTTCAGTTATTATTGTTACTTTTAAAATTGATATTCTGATAGTCCCTGTATTGGACCCAATAGAAGCATAGTTTAGTATGTGAATATGCAGTTCTTGTAAATTTGAAGACACAACCTTGATAAGCTGTTAAATTGCTCAGACTGGGCTTGAACTTTGAGATCCTCTTGTCTCAGTCTCCCAGAGTGCTGAGATTATAGGCATGCACCACTGTACCCAGCTAGACTTTTAAAAAGTAGATTCATACATATAAAATTATAAGACAGATTTTATTACAAGTATTTTAATCAGCTTTATTGAAGTATAATCTACCAATGGTTACAGCCACTTTTTCAATTCACGGATTTTTAAGCATCGCTTAATTTTGGAAAATATTTACAGTCACATGACCAACATCACACTCACGATGATGGAATATTTTTATCACCCTGAATTTCTTTTGTGCTTCTTGAAACTATAGAATTGCACCTTTTATAGACTTCCACATCAGTGGACTGATACAGCATGTGGTCTTTCGGGTCTGGCTTCTGTCACTGTGTTTTCAACTTAAAATATATAAGCCTCTTTGCACAGTCAGAGGCCACCTATGTGTGATTCCATTTATGTGAAAGTGCAGAAAAGATGAATTTATGGAGACAGTCATTAGTGGTTGCCAGGGACAGGACAGGGAGTGGCTGTAGTACGTATGACTGAACCCTTTTTAAGTGATGGAAATGTGCCAAGATTTGTTGTGCTAATGGATGTCTAAGTTTGTAAGTTAACTAAAAGAAAAATTGAATTGTATATTCACAGTGAGAGAGCTTTCATTGTATTTATTTTTGACACAAAAATTGTGCTGTGTAATCCAGATCAGCCTTGGATTCACTATACAGCCCAGGCTGACCTTGAACTTGCAGTCCTCCTGCCTCAGCCTCCCAGGATGCTGGGATTACAAGTGTGGTCCACTGTGCCCAGTGTACAGTGGGAGAATTTTATGTCATATAAATTCTTCAAAAGATTAAAAGAAACCTCAAGTAAGGTAGCATAAATAAGAGTTCTTAACTCTGGTGAAATTATAGAACGATAGCAGTTTATCAGATGGAGAAACCAGGCGGTGCAGATGCCTGCAGGCTTGTGGTCTCCAAGCATTACTGTCCCCATAATGTACAACTGTTAGCACTTGTATGGCTCTCTAGGCTAATTTCTGAGAAATGAAAATTCAAGTCATCTTTGGAGCTTTTCTTGCCAGGAAGGTCCTGGCAGGCTGGGTGTAGTATCTTTGGTTATACTGGCTGCTGTCAATGGCTTCCCTCTTCGCCACAGTGATAAGTGAAAACCAACATCTCACTGCTGTCATTACATTTCCTCGATGACTGGTGAAAGTGAGCATCTCTTTCTCGTGTTCTAGTTGTGTGTGTGTTTGAAGGGCTTTGTAAAACTACCTGCTTTTACCAACTGTACAGTGAATAAAAATTTGTGAAGTTGAATATGCCAAAAATAATAAGACGTGTACTCATGTTCACCGTAGCGTTATTATAGCTAAAATGCGGAGGAAATCCAGGTAAGCAGTGATGGATAAGGGAAAGAGGAGCTGTGGCCTTGAAGAGGAAGGCAGTTCTGACACGTGTTACCCATGGGGCCTCCTCGAGGACAATGTGACGAGCGAAACAAGCCCGTTAGAAAAAGACTAATACTTGAGGACCCCACTGACAGGAGGGACTTAGAATAATCAGAATCAGGCCGGGGATTTAGCTCAGTGGTTCCCCTGCCTGCTTCATGAGTGCAAGGTCCCAAGTTTGATCCTTACTATAAAAAAAATGTAATCGGAATCCTAAAAGGTGGAAAGCAGGGCGGCGGTCGCCAGAGGCTAGGGAGGGACTGGCGGGGATTGTTGTTTCAAGTGTACAGAGTTTCAGTGTGGGCAACATGAAAAGAGTTCTGATGAAGGAGAGGCATTGGTTACCCAGCGGCAGGAATGTAGTCCATGCCACTGCCCACACTTCTACAGATGGTTAAGACCGTACATTTCATGTTACATGCATTTTACCATGGTTTGAAAAATTGGAGAGAAGCGCAAGGGAAGGTACAATTCCGCTCCTGACTACATTTGAGAAGTGCACGTCGCTCTGGTTACATTGTTTAGATTCTTTTTAAAATAGAAACTGAGCTGTTACAGTCACAGTTTTGCAATTCTCCCTTTTATTTTTTAAAAGCTTTATTGGCATTTGGTCCCCAGCACCTTTCATTTTTTTATTGGGTAAAAATTCATATCTAAGGGTGTGGTGGGCACAACTGTAATCCCAGCACTCAGGAGGCTGAGGCAGGAGGATTGCTGGGAGTTTGAGATCGGCCTGGGCTACATAGTGAGTTCCAGGTCAGTCTCAACTACACAGTGAGAACTTGTCTCAAAAAGCTTTATTGGCATTTGGTCCCCAGCACCTTTCATTTTTTTATTGGGTAAAAATTCATATCTAAGGGTGTGGTGGGCACAACTGTAATCCCAGCACTCAGGAGGCTGAGGCAGGAGGATTGCTGGGAGTTTGAGATCGGCCTGGGCTACATAGTGAGTTCCAGGTCAGTCTCAACTACACAGTGAGAACTTGTCTCAAAAACCCCCCCCCCAAAAAAACAAGAAAACCTCACATATAGTAGAATGAATGGATGAATGTATTTATGCTGGGGCCGAGCGGTGGGCCCCTTCTCTGAGCTGCAGCCACGCCCCTCCCCTGTTTAGATTATCTAATCCAGCGGCTTTCGGCATCCGCACAGCCCTGTGCAGCTGTTGTGACGACAAATTCTGGAACATTCCATCACCCTGAGAGGAAGCCGCGTACCCTTTAGCTGTCGCTTCTAACTCTCCCCAGCTTTGGTAATTGCTCATCTACTTTCTGTTCCTCTGGATTTGCTCCTTCTGGACATCGTGTGTGAGTGGAGCCCCGCGTTGTGTGCCTTTTGCAGCTGGCTTCCTTCTCACAGCTCGCTCTCAAGGGTGAGCCCCGTGGCCGTGCGTGGCAGTGCTTTGTTCTTTTCTATGGCGCGGTGTCCCACTCTGTTTTATTTATCCTTTATCTGTCTGTGAGCTTTCGGGGCATTTCCACGTTTTTGCTCTTCTTACTAATGCTTCTGTGCACATTCATGTAGACTTGGGTGATCCTGTCCTCTTTGTCTTAAAGATACACTCCGAGGAATGGCATTCTGGGAGCGTGTGGCAGCTTTGTTAACCATCCGAAGGCCCGTGTTTTATTCTGCAGTACGTGTTGTACAGTGTTCGGTGTCAGCACTCCCAGGTGTATCTCTTGCTTCTGAGCTGCTGGGTAGTAGTTCACGGTATGAAAATGCCGTGGTTTATAGGTCCAGTCCCATGTGGATGGATGTCTGGATTGCTTTTGGTGCTTGTTGTACAGGCAGGGATGCGAATCCTTTCTGAAGGGCCTTCAGGTTGTTTCCAGTCCTCCACAGCATAACCCCTGCAGGGAGTCTCCTCCTGCACTGTGGAATGTTTCCGTAGACCATGCGCCTAGACAGGGCAACCGGAGGGGTTTCTCCATCTGACTCTGACCCTGTCACTTTTATTCCACAGGGGACCAACCAGGCACCATGGCACAAAAGGGCCAACTCAGCGACGATGAGAAATTCCTCTTTGTGGACAAAAACTTCATCAACAGCCCAGTGGCCCAGGCTGACTGGGTGGCCAAGAAGCTGGTGTGGGTCCCTTCCGAAAAGCAGGGCTTCGAGGCCGCCAGCATCAAGGAGGAGAAGGGCGATGAGGTGGTGGTGGAGCTGGTGGAGAACGGCAAGAAGGTCACAGTCGGCAAGGACGACATCCAGAAGATGAACCCGCCCAAGTTCTCCAAGGTGGAGGACATGGCAGAGCTGACGTGCCTCAATGAGGCCTCGGTGCTGCACAACCTGAGGGAGAGGTACTTCTCGGGCCTCATCTATGTGAGTGTCTCCAGGCTCCATCTGCTTCCTCCGGGCCTTCTGTGCCCCACGGGAGGGAGGGGCTCAGGGTGCGTTTGGTCCGCTGGATGGGAAGCTGGCAGCAGGACGGCGGGGGCCACGCAATGAGGTGGGGTCCCTCGGGCCTGGGTTCCCACCTCAGCCCTCCCCGTCCTAGCTCTGGGATGGACACCAGGAGACTTCCCCTCTGGAAGCCTCTGTGATTTTTAATCTGCAAAGGAGAACAATCCCCCGGCCCCCCTCAGCACATAGGGGAGATGTGACAGGCCCAAGTAGTCAAAGATCTTCAGTGCTGAGGTGGATGACAGGGTCACCTCAGATTTCGTTAGCATCACCTCCTGCCCTTCCTCCATCTGGGAAATGAGGAAGAGCTCCTACCCACCTCAGAAAGGCTGCTCCATCCTGGCAGCCAGAGGAGGGCAGGAGATGTGAGGATGTGGGTAGGTGTCAGCGTGGCTTCCCTGTCACCAATGGGAATGGCCGAATGGGACTTGGAACTCCTTGAGTGGACTCTGGAGGTTTGGAGTGGACTAGGGTTGTGCTTTCCAGCATGATAAGCTGCTGAGTACTTGTGGGTGACTACAGTGAAGTTTTAAGTATTTTTAAAAATTAGAACTTAAAAATGTGCTTCTTCCATTGTATGTTGGCCACATGTCAAGGGCTCAACAACTCCTGGTGGCTACTGCATCAGACGGCACAGGCCCAGAACATTCCCACATCACCGTCCAGGGACAGCTTGGACTAAAGGGTAGGGCTGGTGACAGGAGGATGCTGTTCCTGGTGGGTTGAACTAACTTCCCAGAACAAGAGGCTCATGTTGCCGGCCTGGTAGGCAGAGGTTCGCAGCCCTGCCTTTATCTACCTTTCTTCCTCCAAAGCCATGCCGACCCTTTGAGAAGGCTTCCTCACTCTTCTGAAACTTTGCTCCTTCTCTGTAGTAATGGACACCAGAATCGTGCCAGCCTCTGGGAGCTTGAAGCATGAACATACTTCTCAGCACACACTGGGCACTCAAGGTGTATGTGCTGTGTGTCCTGGCTGTGTAGTGGTTATGATTGTCTTACTTATTACTAGTCAGACATTCTTGGATCTTTTGTAAACTTGTGGACAGCGTCACTTCTGTCCTTTTATGTCCTTGTGGTCCTGTCCTTTACGTTTTGCCACTTGATAATTACAAAAAGTCCCTGGCCATCAATAATGTCCTGAGGATTCTTTCCTAATTAGAAAAATAAGGCATGTTCGCTATGGAAGACTTGGAAATATCTGAAAGGCATAGTAAATACAAAAATCAGTCCTTGACCAGAGATGAGGTGAGTTTGTGTCCTCCTTCTCCTTTCTTGGGGAGAGCGGCACCTGGAGACACGTTTAAAAGCCTGCCACGCACGCAGCTTGGTGGAGTGTTCTTTCCTCCTGCATGTCCCATTTTACAGCAGAGGAATCTGAGGCCCAGAGTGGTCAAGCCTGTCTGTCCTTCCCTAACCAAGTAGAGAAAGCCTCTCCTGTCCATGACCTTCCTTACTTGGAAATATCATTCTAGGTCTCTTGGTAGCTTGGGCGTTTCTAGGAGTCCAGACTGCAGGAAGCTGGGGGAGACTGGGTAACTGGGTTCAGATCCTCCTGCGCCAGTGATGTCCCCTCCATCCAGGGAGCTTCCAGTTTAGCTGCTGCTCCCCAACATGCTGTTTAAACCCAAAACAGGAATCGGAACAAACGAAGGCCTTATGAAGGCCTTGGGACCCAGAGCAGCATGTGATCATATTAAAAAGTGAAAGCTCCAAAGTGCTGCTCTGCTTCTCCAGACAGAGTAGATGAAAGTCCTTCGGGCCTTGTGACGATGCACCTGCCACTGTCTTGTATCTGCTCCACTGAACTTCTTAGTAAAAACTAAAGTCCGTGACAGAGAGGATGAAGGAAGGGGGGGGGATGGGGAGCAGAGTAAGCCCCTCTCCCGGCTCATGATTACAGGGCCTGGGACTCTTATCAATCCCGGATGGCAGTGATGTTGGTCTGTCCGTGGCCCAGGCAGCTGGCCCCAACTCTGCCCTTGGTCATGAGGAAACCTTTCCTGTCTGTTCCACAGCCAACCTCAAACCAAGGGCCTCTGAGGAGGTGCCGCAGACCCCTATCCTCTTGGCCCTAGAAGCATTGCGGAACTAGGAGGAGCCTGTCTGCTTGGATGAGAGAGGCGGGGTCTGGGCTCCACGATACCCAGGGACTGAGCTGCCCGGGTGCGTGACCCGGCTACCATGGGATCACAGCACTGGGTGCCGGCCGAAGCTCCTTGTTCTTGTGATCACTGCTGTGAGCTGGGTCCCGTCTACTTGGATTTGATCAGCTCTGCTGTGGGTTTTGGCTGTGGATCCAGGAGCCGGGAGTTCACCAAGTGTGGGCCTGCTTTGGACCCGGCTCTGTTCCAAGTCCTGCCCAGGCCACTCTGTGATGCTGGTGCCAGTGACGCTGATATCCCACCTTAGAGACGGGGCAGAGAGATGACACGCACTCACCCTAGCGAGGGACCCAGGTTCCCTCTTTGGTCTTTCTGGTGGTAAAATTATGTGGGCTTTGAGCTCCTCCTCCTCTGTGGGATGCTGGCCCCCATCCTTGCCCTGAGGCTGTTTTGCAGTTAGGAGGGAGAAGGCAGGACACCCCTGAGCTAGATCCAGATCTATGGCATCTCTTCCAGTGTGTGCAAGGGGTGAGTGAGAAATGCAATACATGTTTAAATCTTTAAAAAATTATTACAAGAAAAGACACATTACCATCAACCCCCTTTAAAATACTCCTTTCTTTTTCTTTCTTTTTTTTTTTTCCGTAACAAAACATTTATTGGTGTGTTTTAGGCACACGTAATGATGACGCTCATCCTAGGGAAACTCATCCAACCTCTTTTCTTCCATTTTCCCCTCCCTTCTAGCCCCTTTCCTTCCTTCCATACATTGTTTTAAAAGATAAACTGCTTTCACAAGCTTTTCCTCCATATGTAGTAAGCTTTTTAGTCTTGTCATTTGCGGGAGGCTAACTTGAAACCGTGCTGAGCAGGCTGTAAACGCTTACTGAATCGGCTTGAGATCAGCTATTGATTAACCTGCGAGCCTGTCTTGGGCCTGCACGGCTTGCTGGACGAGCCTTCCCCTGGCGTGCAGAAGCACAGCTCCTGTGCCAGTGGCCACAGTCGAGGCCTCCGGTAGCGAGACGATGCTGCAGCTGAGGGCTCTACGACTCTTTGCAGCCGTTCTCCCAGAACAAACCTTCCCTCTGTTCCTGGGTGGGCCTGGCTGTCCACAGCGGCTGCTTGGCTCCTCAATTTGCGTCAGGCTGGAGCAGCCCTGGAAGCTTGCTGGGTAGACAGTCCTCGCCAGTCCTCCAGGCCAGCACTGGGGCGCAGGTTCCGCACTCCGGTCCACACTGCAGCTCAGCTCAGCCCCGCGGAAGTGAAGTCAAGGGCCCAAGCCTGGAGGGCACGTTGGTCCCGGGCCGGCTGGAGAGGGCCAGAGTCTGATTGGCCCGCCGCGCCTGGACACCGCAGGCCCATCCGGCCAGGGAAGCGGAGCAGACCCAGATTGCAGCGCTGGTCTAAACCGCTGCTTGTGAAAGTGCTGCCCAGAGGACCCACGCCCACCCCACTGCCCTGCGTCTTCTTGCCTCTTTCTGAAGCCGCTCTGGGAGTGCTCTTTCATGAATGTCCTCCTGAGGCGTCCCGCTGAAAGGCGCCTCCTGAAGTGTTAGGGTGTGTCCTCGCTCCAGCCTTCTCACCAGATGAGGTGCCCTGCGATCTCTAGCTCTTCCCCAATTAAAGGGACCCCAAAGGGTAAATGTTTTGAATGGATTCAGGGCATCAAGGCAGCCAGGATAGCACAACGAAAGACACACACAGAAGGACACTTTGAGACCTGCTTCAGAAAATGGCAAGAACCACAGGATAAGTGTGTGCGAAGTGAACAGGAGCGTTTGAGGGGGATTAACGGTAATGTGCCTTTCCTGTACCGGATTTGAAAAATTAGGCCCCCAGCATATTTTTCAATCCCACTCCATGTACTCTGCAATGTGGGGTTTTGAGTTTAGCCCCGCAAGTGGGTACCAAGGAGCCTGTAGGCCTTGTGATTTGGGGAAATGTCTGTGCATATGTGTATTTTTTTCTGGGTGAGTGTTGTAGCTGTCATGAGACTCTCAAAGGAGCCTGTGGCCTTCACATCAACACCAGCTGCTATTCACTGATAATTCACTGTGTTGAGTGTATGCCAACATATTGTTGCTGCTGCTATTACTTGTTGTAAGAGAGATACTGTTATTTATCCTATTTTTTGTTTGTTTTTTTTGAGACAGGGTCTCACTATGTACTTGAGACTGACCTGGAACTCACTATGTAGCCCAGGCTGGTCTCGAACTCACAGTGATCCTCCTGCCTCAGCCTCCCGAGTGCTGGAATTACAGGCGTGAGCCACCACACCTGGCTTATTTATGCCTATTTTTTGATGATTAAAAAACCTGCAGCTTTGAATTTAAGGAGCCTTCAGGGACCCAAACACGGATCTCAAATCCAGAAAGGCCAATGCTAGAGCCAGCGCCTTAACCATGAATGTCGCACTAACTTTTCCCTTGATGCTCTGAGACTGAGCTCTTGGCCCATTTAAGAGACAGGCAGTGGGGGTCAGATGAGCTCGGTCTTGTAGCTGGTGAGTGGATGGAGCTGGGGTTCAGTGCAGGGCTGAGGTGACCTTCATGATGGCAGAGGCCCTCGGGGTAAGAGCAGGAGGTGAAGGGCCTGGGTTAGGCAGATAGGTTGGTGCACAGTGGTACCATTAGCATTGAGTTGGCCAAGCTTTAAGTGGGTGGCTGGAAGGAATCTAACCTTCTATCATGACTTCTTGAGCACCTGCTAGGTTTAGGCTAGAGATCACAATCTACTGGCCCAGAGTAACTTTCTTTTTCTCATTAAGTTTGTGGGTACATTTTAGGTATACGGTACAGTTACACTCACCATT